ATTGTCTTTATATATTTTTTATTCAGATCTGGCACAGCAGGTGGTACTATTTTCAATGTGGATAATCATATTTAAACATTCAATTACAAGGAATAAAGTTGAAACAGAGATAATCTGTTAAACTTGATTGACATTACTTATGAATCCAATTTAAATAAGAGCATGTTTTAAGTAGTTGAACAATTTAAACATAAACTATTCCACTTCCATTGTATTGGTAGGTTTGGAAATATAATGTTTGTCATTGATTTTCATGTTTACACAAACTCCTTGAAGATTTGTTGGGCAAACTACTTCATATTCTTCAGTTAACTTATATTCAGCTACGTTGGGTACAAATACTTCTGGAATTAGGGTCTTGAATTTCTTCACAACTTCACACTTTTTGACCAGGGCAATAATTTTACTGTCACACGAACAATTGATGCATTCACAGTTATACACTCTCAGAAATGTTTCAATGAAACCAACATTCGATTCATTGCATGTATTGTACACTGCAACACTGGAATCACGGCACACTGATGCTTTACTTGATAAAGATACATATAGGAAGTGACCTCTTTTCAGGGAGTGGAATTGCTTCAACCTCTGAAACTTGATGTTTGCTTTTTCAAGGATATTAACAAAGTGAGGTGGCACATTTTCTTGGCTGAGCAGAACACTCTTGCCAATTATAGCAGATCCATTTACTACCTCTGCTCCTTGGTACTTTCGCCTGTTCAGTACCTTTGAGCAGAACTGTTTGGCTTCTGATTCAGGTAGCTTGGCTACAATTTCTGGCAAGGCAAGACATGTCTGTACTGATGTGGCGATCTGTCGATCAGCCCATCGAGTGCCATGCACTAAGCTCAAGATGACTCCATTTAGTGATTCTAGCGGGAAACATGTATACACCCATGCAGCACCTTGATTAGCTACAACTGAAGCAAGGTGAAGCAGCAAATGAATGTTTATAGTCATATGATTTGGATCATAGAAGTCTGAAAACTGTGAGACGTATTTCTTCAGAAGGTTTTCTGCAACTGTCAAGGACTCTGACGAAACTTCATTTGCATTTAACAAATGTGCTGCAGCAACTAAAGAGCCATGGTGCCTCAGATATATTTCAGGGAGCACACCTTCAAGTACAGGCAAAGAATAGTCATTTAACCATGTTTTCCACTCCGAAGTTTTCCAGTATTTTATATCTTTCAGAGATCTCGGAACTCTTGCAATATGAGCTGGAGGTTTAATGCTTTGAAGTCGATCGTTCAAAACTGTTTGATACTTTGAAATACTCCAGGCTTTTGCTTTTTTCTTCGACGACAACAGAAGCAAAAGTTCCCTCTTATTAACTCCACCATAAACTAGGTGCATCCAATCAATTGCAGTGCCCAACACATAGTTGGGCATTACATAGGACAAGCTACAAGGACCTTTAACTCCTTTGACGGCTTTGACTTCAGTTCCCTGTTCTCCATATTCTTCCATTTTAAGCAGAGTGCGGGGAATCATTTGGTCTTCTTCAAAAGGAAACAGCCTGACACCAGGACAGCCTGGTCTCGGTTCACCTGCCTGCTCACACACTTGACAGCTGCATGCACCATTGAACTCACTGTTAGAAATTTTCGGGGAGATTTTACAGATAAAGTCTGGGTATACTAGACGCCAATATAAAGTCTGGTAAAATTACCAGTGCTTGTAAAATTA